TATATATATATATATAAAGCATAAATTACGAGAAATACCGAAAAGTTTTTTTTTTTAATTTTCAAATAATACGGTTGTAAAAAGACTTACAAATTGGTTACTCATCGCTTGAATATTTAAATACTTTTTTTTAATTTTTATTTCTATCTTTTAGAAGATTTTATAATGGAATAAAGAATAAAATCCCTGGAAATTCAAGTTCTTTTAACTTCTTAATGCTCTTGATTAAAGATATAAAACTATAGTATGTCTACTTTTTTGGTTGCATTTGCGTTTTATTCACAATGTCTAGCTTAATTTTCATACATAGAGCACAATATATTTTTTCTTCGTTAGGATATACATAGATACTGGAAAATTCTTTATTTTTTATTAATTTCTTATTTTATAATTTAATTTATACTTTATTCTTTTAAAAAAAAGAAGTTGGAATATTTTCTTATCTGATTTGAAATACATTTTTGGAAATGGTGTGGTTTAACTTCTGCTGCAAAATTCTCAAATCTGTCAAGTAATGAAAAGTTCAAATCTTAGAGAGTCGTACTCTCTTATACCATTTTTATTTTAGTTTTCAGATAGTACTATTAAAAATTATTGCTGAATTTATCTTTGTTATACGTCCATTTACAAGCGTACACTGTAAAAAATTTCGTATCAAATTACGGTAAAAAGTCCCGGCATTGCGGGTGAATCATCTGCAAAATCTATTTTGATTAAAATCCATTTTTACAGTAAGACATTTTACCGTAATATTTATTCAATTCGAATTATTCAATGATTTTACTATCATAATTTCTGTAAAAATTTCAGTATCTCAGATTGCTTGTTCCTGTAAAAATGAATTTTACTGTAAAAAGTATCAGCAATCTGAGTGAACTAATTATTTTCTACAGTGTAATTTAAATATTTCTTTTACAGTGTAACTAGTTTTATACACTTTTCTAAGAATAACTAATTTCTTGCAGTGACATTTTTTATATTGTAACTAATAACAGAATGTTATTTATAGCTTAAACAAGTTCTTCAAAATTAAGAAGCATTGGATCTTCAAAGAACAATTGAAATCACATTGGATATGCCTCAGATGAAGTTCCTCTAGTCAAAATTTATGATACTTATTTTAGTATGTGTTCATTTTAAATGACAATAAATTCATTATAAAATCTTAATAATTGAAATATGTTTTTATTTGTGATATTTAAGACATCTTTGTATTAGATACATTCATACAATGCAACGTGTATAGGTAACGAATTTTAATGATTTAAAATTTCAATAATTTACATTTTGGTTGCATTTACAGATGGGACACCGGGGTATCGTATAAATATTTTTCACTCTCTAATACACACATAATACTTAAGCAAATTTATATAATAATATTTACATGTAATTACAAAAATACATTTTGGTATATTTTAATTATGATAAACGATGTAATACTTACTAAAAAATATCTGATAAATTCTAATCTGGTAAATTATATTTCTTCTAAAACAGAAAAACTAAAAGAATAGTTAGAATTTTTTTTCATTTACATTTATAAATTTATCAGTAATTTATTTTGCAAATTAAAGAAACTTGAATGATTAATTACTGTTTATCTTAAATCTAAATAATAAGAAATAAGTGCTAATTTGAAATTTTTTATCTTTAACGCAAAAGGGGAGATGGGTGCTGTATTTCATAACCAAACATTTTTAAACTGCTAAATTCAATATTTTTCTCCTATTTTGACCTAAATTAATACAAAAGATGAAAAAAAAATTACAAATATGCTTAATAAGGGGTTCGTAAAAGGGGTTATGTATCATATACAAAAATTATATGTTATTTTTTTTTAAAAAAATAATTTGCTTAAAGAAAATATTTTCTTCTTAAAAATTTAAAATTATTATAAAAATAGTAATAAATTTAAAGATTCCGTATCCTTACTCGTTGATTAGATGCCTCTTTTTCCCTGTTTTGTTTGTTATAGTAACTCTTTTTCATCTCTATGGACACTACTGAATCAAAGCTTAATCTCATACACACTAAAAAGAGAAAGAAAAAGAAAGATCGGTTTGCAGATATTTGCAGGATAGAGAAATAAGCCGAACTAAGAAAGCATATTCAAAAAAGTGGAGTAAATTCTGAACAATGCATGTAAGAATGCATTGAACGAAATGAAGAATGAAATGAACGCTAATTTTTCTGCACCTTCATAACAATCATTTCAAGAAAAAAAATCTGAATTTAAATCGATAAAAAATATGAATAAAACTAATTATTTCTCGAGATTAAATGCATATATTACATTTAACACCGTTTTACATTAACAGCATGCTTAGTGATTAAGCTTCAAAGTAATTGAAAATAATGAACTTTATTAGTGAAGTAAATAAAGGTCTCATTTAAATAAATCTTGATCTGTAGGCGACAGTTTAAAATTCCTAAGAGTCTTTTTTTAAGGTTAATAGGACGTTATATAATAATTATGCATATTCTTTTCAGCACTTTGCTTTTAATACATCAAGAGAAATATTTATTTATCAGTTTGAAGAACTGATGTAATTAATTATTAATGCTCTGTTTGCAAGGTTGTGACAACGCGTGTTTTTGCTAGAAACTTTAAAAAATTAGATATGGGGGTTCTGCATAAAATATGAAATCTCAGAACAGAGAGCAGCAACAGCAAAAAATTTTATGTATATTTTTATACAAAAATAAAATTTTTTGGCTCTCACAATCAGCTGTACAGGACCTCAAAATAAAAGTGCTTAAAATAAAGAACGGGCCAACCTGACTAACTTTTGATCTAATGATGGGATCTTCACGTTCTAGGACTCAGTCTTAATGACTGGAGGGGGTGAATTCAAATATGCAAATTTATTAGAGCAGACGATATTTTAAGTTATGAAATCAGACACAAAACTTATTTGCACTGATTGATATGACTAATATGCCACTCCTGCTTTATGTTGTTTTGAACATTTTAAAAGTGCCATCTACAGGTTTTAACGAAAACTAGAACATTTCGCTTTTTGTACCGAAATTTTCAGAATTTCGTTAATCGAGTATGATAATTAGAAATCATCTCAAGATTATTATGATATTTTTCATATTTTTTTTAAATTCGCGATATTTACTTGGAACCAGTTTAACACATAAATATAACAGCCATGTTTTCCAAAAAAAAAATCTATACTTGTCTAGAAATATTTATAGAGCGTGTCAATAAAATGATTCGAAGCAAAGAAATGTAAAAGAAATTTGCAAATATTTAATTATTGATGAAAAAGGTGCAATTATTTAGTTACTAAGTTATAACATTTGATTACTCATTTAATTATTTTTACAGTTTAGTTACGAACGTATTGCAATTTTAATGCGGGAATAGTACAGTTATTTCATTGCTTATTTATTTTTTTCAATAGAGTTTTATTAATATTGGTGGAAAATTTGTAAATTTTTTGTAATATTTTGAATCGGAGGATTTAATTGAAACAGGTACCAATTGGAAAAATTAACAATCGTACACATGTATCATACACAAACACGCATTTATGCATAGTGTAGAGTGCGCAAAATAAAAAACGAAACACCCTGAGTAACTTTTGATCAATTGATCAGATTTTTATGTACTAGGACTCAATTTTAGTGGCACCAGCGCCTGACCTTAAATATGCTAATTAATAAATTAATGCAGACGATAATTTAAGAGACGAGGTTGGACACACAAATGTACTTTTTTTGACTGAATCAGATTCTAGAAGAATTCTAGAAGGATTCTAGAAGAGTGAGGGTTGTCGCAGACGAGAAAATATGGACCCGATAGTTTGGACAGGAGAGCAGTCGAAAATTTGGACCCCTTAATGTTAATTTTACTTTTAGCGTATTTTGTGATAACTCGAGAACTTAAGCGATATTTCTAAAACTTTTCAAAAAATGTTTGCGCAAAATTATAAAATTCGTTTATTTACAGATAATTTCATTCAAAAAAATTTTTTTTAACGAGGTTGATGGTAGAAAACCATCAAAATTAGTTTAATTGATTATTGAATTTTAGATTTGTTTTTAATGACCAGCATTGAATTATTTCTTGCTGTCTCCCAAGAATAAAATATATTTTGGTGTCTTTGTTCCGCCCACCTTGGTAGTGATTCTTTAAATGTTGACAGTTTTTTTAAAAAAATTTTTGTGCTAATTTGTGACTTTTAATGTGTGTACATTTTTAATGTCATTTTGATAAGAATTCTAAAAATATATATTAAAGGTGATCCTTCTGGAACACTCTGTCAAAGCAACTTTCTTATTTACTAAAAAGAATGCATATGATGTAAAATTTTCAAGTAACTGTTACTATTACAATCATATTTATTCTAAATATACCATGCAATTATTAAAATGTAAGTTTACTGAGGAAAATGATTCGAAGAGGACCACCTTTTTTTTAAAAAAGAAAAAGATATTTAGTTTATCAGTTTCATATTATTACACGTAAATGTATCACAGCATTGATTATTTTTCGACAAAACTTTGGTTTTGTATATTTTGTACTACATTTGCTTGTATTTTTTTGTGCTCAAATGAAAAATGTATTTCTTATGATGCGCAGTAATTTTTAGATATTTAATTAAAAAAATAAAAATACAAAAATAATTAAATTTAGAAAAAAGGAATCATTCTTTCACTTGTCTAGAGATGCAAAAAAGAAAAAAGAAATTTACTAAAAGACTATTTTTCTTTTTGAGTATCGGATCATGATTAAAAAAGAAGGGTAAAATGGCAGTAGACTAAAGTATAAGGCGATAAAAATAAGAGACCATATTAAGCTTTATGTTTTTACGATTTTTAAAAGTCACTATTTTTATGAAAACAATCTTTTTTTACTTCATTTCTCATTAGTATATTTAAAAGATACATTAGGAGCGGTGATTACAAAGCACCATGTGAGCAATTATAGCAACTGTGTCTCATAAAACTAAAATTTCTATCTTAAACTGTTGTCAAGAAATTCAATTTCATTAGGTAAATTTAATTAATGTAGTATATGTATGAATATGTGTGTAGCCAAAGTATTTAATATTTATGTTTCATATTTAGTCGAAAAGAAACATTTTAAAATAATTATTTAAAATATATTATAAAATAAAGATAAGATGTTTTACATTTTGACTGATTTGACTGATAAAACACTTTATCATTAAATCCGAAGCACTGTGTGTACGCCATGTGTTAATTTTCTCATCATATAGATAATTTTCATGAACAAGATGATAATGTTTTGCATACATGTTGCGTTTCTAATATTGTATATAAAGAGAAATGCTGTGATTTAATCTTTTTTCGTACTCTGAGTAAGGAACGAGTCGAACAAAAATGTATATGCTAATCCTGCTGAGTTTGGTAATTGGGGCTTTAGCCGATGGTAAGTTAACTTGCATATTTGATTAAACTAATATAGATTTAGAAGTATAAAAAAGAATTAATTAAGCTGAGAAAATAATTATATTTTTCGGTAACTCTATTTTTTAACTGATTGTGTAAATGATAGATATTCCTATTTCGAGGGTTTTACAGTTATCTTATATTACCTTATTAAGCAACACTTTGTGATAAACACACTTATAGTGGTATCGAAACTCATTAACCGTTTTCCAATTGCGAAACAATAAATAAGTAATAATATTTTTATTATAAGCATTGAGTTAAAGAGTGCCCAATTAAAGGATCCAATTAGGCCAATGATTACAGCATTGCGGAAAAAAAAGTATGGTCAAAATCATCAGAATGTGGTAAAGTTTACCGTGTTTCTGGCTTTACTGGAATGCCAAAAAGCTCAGTAATTTTTACCGAAGTACTTTGGCAATGATTCGCTGGTAAAATTAATATTAAAATCTAGTTTTTGAATGTGTGATAAATTTTGATAATTTTATTATTATACCTTAAAGCATGGAACAAAATCAATTTATTCTGCCAATTTCACTTATCAGTTATGTATTTTTAAAATGTGTGGTAATTCGAACTATAATTTTGAGAATCAAAATGTCCGGCAAACCGATGTCATATAAGCTGAAAAATTACCAAGTGTGTGATTTAAATACTTCATATTTTAGTTCTATTACCAGGTTCTTTTTTCTTTTATTTCATTTATTTGTTCTTTAATGTTATTACCATACTGTACTGTAATTTTTACAGAATTTGTTTCTCCGTGAAAATTCTAAACCTTTATGAGCCAATTACCAAACAATTTTTTCGGCAAAGTATATTTTTAAATATGATTTTTAGAAACGAAATCGAGGATGAAGTTTCAACGGTATCTGAGCAAAATAATAATGATTGAATTTCATCCCATATAAAAATGTGCTAAATTTGTGAAACCAAATCCGTGTTGAAACATTTCGAGATTTTTCAAATAAATACCTTTTAAATTTAAATGAACCAAATGTGAGGGACAAAATAATTTTACTAATCCTGGTATTTTAGTGCGTCCTCTCTTATGAAAAGAAATGAAATAATAAGTTGAAACGCATCAAATAAATTTTAATTATGAATTTCTTTAAAACCAGACTTCTGATCTATGTCTACGACTGTCGATTTCTCTAAATGAATTTCAGATGATTATAATATCACGTCAGTAAACAAACACCGTCATTGCATAAATTTGCTGTAAAATTGCTTAAATTAAAATGGATATAAGGTCATTCGCTAAAAAACTCGCAAACAAATTTTTATGATTTTGGACACTGTCTGCACTTGAGCGCAAAACGGTCAAATCGAAATCCCCATCTGATTACAAAGATTTTTTTTTCCAAAATGTGATGTTTTTTCCAAAATTATTAAAAATGTCTGAATTTTAGGCCATTGCATAAGAGTTGCTAATACTCTTCCAGATCTTTTCCCCAGAAAACTAAGCAATCTCATAAGTGCTTACAAAATAAAACAATCGGTTTCTATTTGATTATTGTATTAGATTAAGTGTTTTAAAAAAGTTTTAAACTATTTTTTTTCTTTCTTTAATTTAGAGTGCCNCACCGTCATTGCATAAATTTGCTGTAAAATTGCTTAAATTAAAATGGATATAAGGTCATTCGCTAAAAAACTCGTAAACAAATTTTTATGATTTTGGACACTGTCTGCACTTGAGCGCAAAACGGTCAAATCGAAATCCCCATCTGATTACAAAGATTTTTTTTCAAAATGTAATGTTTTTTCCAAAATTATTAAAAATGTCTGAATTTTGGGCCATTGCATAAGAGTTGCTCATACTCTTCCAGCTCTTTTTCTCAGAAAACTAAGCAATCTCATAAGTGCATATGAAATAAAACAATCGGTTTCTATTTGATTATTGTATTAGATTGAGTGTCTTAAAAAAGTTTTAAACTATTTTTTTTCCTTCTTTAATTAAGAGTGTCCTTCAAATTCTCACTTTAACGATTGTGGAAGCGCTTGCCCAATTACGTGTGAGAACTACAAGAACCCTCCAACCTTTTGCATTCGAATATGTGTAGATGGTTGCCATTGTGACGAAGATGAGGGATACGTTAAAACAAAAGATGGACGATGTGTTTTACCAGAAGATTGTGGACCAAATGGTTTGTAAAATATTTTACTTATTAATACGCTTAGTAGTTATAATTTTTGTATAAATTGATTTAAAGTGGGATATTAAATTTCAGAGCCTATGTTATTGCAGACTAATTGATTAATTGTTCAAATGAAGGGCAAAATTACTGAAAAGGAACATTTAGAGTTGTTTTTTTGTTTCAACAACTCCAATTTATGAAATTCCCCCCTCTCAATCGAAGGGAATGTAAAGTATTCCAAAATCATTGCTCTTTATACACATATATTTAGACTTCAAATTAGGACAAACAAGTACTAACGTTGGATGCCTCAATTTTAATCGAATGTAAAATTCTATGCAACGGAGAATCAATGTACTGTTTGTCTAAGATAGGTACTCTGCCTGCCTCAAAGTCTGTGGTAGTCTGCTATGGAAACAAGAGGAGGGCATTTTAGGGAGGTTAGCTTCGATGAAGAGATCTCCTTTTCTCTCGCCGAAACCAGTCCTAAGGAGGGACCCCGTGCCCCTACTTGAAATAATCATACCTCGTTACTATAGTCATTGCCACAGCTCCGGACGAATGTCTGGCAGAGTACCTATCTTAAACAAACAGTACAGCTTGAAAAAAAAGAGAAAAAAAAACTTTCATCAAAATTTGACAAAGCACTATTTAAGAAAACGTGATACATTGTTAGAAATTTCTCCTTAAAAAATGGCTTGATAACAATTTATTGAATGGTTATTTCACCATATTTAATCAAAACATTCAAATAACCATAAATGGTAACGAAACGTTTAAGTTTGAGAAAAACTTTTTATTAACTGCGTTCACCTAATATGGTTAAACGACCAGAATTTTATCGCACCAACTAGAATGACCAAATGAAGCTACTTAGTTCTTTGCAAATGCGTACATATCAGAGCCGAGCGGGCTAATCTGTCTATCTTATGACCGGCAGAACTGGAGTTCGAGTCCTAGTGTTGACACTACAGTATTTCCTCCATTCCCTTCAGCACACGAAGAATTTCCAGTATCCAGCACTCTCCAATGCCTATTTTCTTATTAAATTTTTTTTTTACGTTTTTTAAAATACCCTATCGTTTTGTGTTCATGGTTTTAGAACCATACATTTTGTAAATGGTTTCAAAACCATAAAGGAAAAAAAATGTTCCTTACCGTAAACTTAATCGGATGGACCGACAACTGCCAGTTATTTTATCATAATTTTAGAATGAAGATTTCAACAGTGTAGAAGCATCCAAATATGTTTAAATGCTAGAAGAAATAAGGAGGTAAAAGGTAATAGTCAGCAGCATCTAAGATTTCACAATAATCAAATCATCTTATAAGTTTTTAATTTCGACGTTCTTCAGAGTAAAAGAAACTGTTTCTTTACATTTTTAAGAAAAAAGTATAAACATTCATATACCTTATTTTCTTTGAGAATATTTTATATCTATATCCATTCATGTTCTTATTCCTTTCCTACCTGTTCCTATTATAATATTTCTTTTTTCGCCTCAATGTTATAAATCCACTGTTCTTTGATAAAAACAATTAAAAAAAGCTAATTAATAAAAAAGGCGAAACGAACTTAGAAAGAATTTCATTCAGTTTATGATACGAATTTGACATAATATACTCTTAAATAGTATATTTTATTAAATTTATTTAAAGCATTTTTTTTTTAAACTTCAACCACCTAACTGGTTTTTTGCAATGTAGAAAATAAAATTGCTAGTGTGTTTTATCGTTATTGAATTTATTTTTTTCAGCGAAACCCTTAAATACACCAAATACTTTTTCTTTCGTCTCATGGAAATTTAAATTTCAAAAAAATTGACTTGAAATTTTGCACTTTCCTCATATTTTACTTTTCCTTTAACTCCTCATTTCTTTCTTTGCATTTAAATTTGAAATATTATTTGCCACTTGAAATTGTTTAATATTTTTCTGGTCAATATCTTTTGTTTTTATAGTAACACATGAAATGTTACTTTTAAATGAAGATTTAAATATTTATGTGTTTTATGTAGATTTACGAAAAAATTATGCCTTTGAATATTTTTTATCTATGAAAAAATAATATCGTACAATATTTTTTACATAAATTTTAATACGACTCATCAGTGTCGTAATAACGAGTATTACTGTATAAAACAAGCAAAAATAACTCACTAAAATTTGAAATTTTTAATTTAGTACAATATTTTTGACATAATTTTTTTCTAATACGACTCATCAGTGTCGTAATAACGAGTATTACTGTATAAAACAAGCAAAAATAACTCACTAAAAATTGAAATTTTTAATTTTGTACAATATTTTTTACATAAATTTTTTTAATACGACTCATCACTATCATAATAACGAGTATTACTGTATAAAACAAGCAAAAATAACTCACTAAAAATTTAAATTTTTAACTTTTATACTTAATCAGTAAATTTATTCAATTTTTTAGATTCAGATGCAAATAATTGTTTGGCTCAGCCTGATGCAGGACTTTGTCGAGGAAGTTTCGAATCCTATTACTACGATCCAAAGAAAGGTGATTGCTTTCAGTTTATCTATGGAGGATGTGGAGGTAATAGTAACAGGTATTCTACGTACGACGAATGTAAAAGCGCATGTGCAGGTAAGTTTGAATTTAATATTATATAAGTTAAAAAATTGAGAAAATATGGAAAATAATTTTTAAAAAAATGACTAGAGAAGAAAAATTATTAAAACTATTTTTCAAAAGTATTTGAAAAAATATTTTTTATTTATTATTCAAAATATATATATATTTTAAAAATCCGCCGGCCAGGTGGCCATCCGCCGTGCCTGACTGCGAAGCCAATGGCTGCGGGTTCGAATCCCGCTCTGGGCATGGATGTTTCTCTCTGTGTTGTCCGCTGATGTGCGTGATGTGTGAATGTGGCCCGCCCTATGAACGGGTTTGTGGCAGTGTGGCGTGGGTAATGTTGTTCGCCTCCGTGACTTAGGTTCACAGGTGCCCACTGGGTAACGCTAAATGAGCAACACTTCCGGCATCTTCCGAGGTGAAGAACGAGAGTTCAGGTGCCTGCCGTTATTTAAAAAAAAATAAGTAAAAAATAAAAAAAAATATTAAAAATCCGGAAAAAAAAGTCTCTTTATCAGCTCACACGATTATATCAGCAAAAGGAGTGTTTTTTAATATTGTATCAATGTAGCCAAAGCAAAATACGAGTATATCAATACAATAGTGAGGAGCTTATGAACAGTTAATAAAACTTATTAATTTTCTTCGTTTTTCTCTCTCTTTCTTTTTGTCTTNGTTAAGAAAAACAATAAGTTTCATTTATTGCGCTTAAGCTGCAAGTAAACCGAACCCATTAGATAAGTTCAAAATGAAGAATAAAACAAAGAGAAATTAAAGACATATGAAAAAAGGGGGAAGTAATAAGTAAAAAAATAACAAACAACAGTTTAAAGAAAAAAAAAAATAAAAGAAGGGATAAAATTTTATTTAAAAAAGCGGGAAAAAAAAGCCGAAAAAAAAAGATGTAATCTTTTCATCAACCCACACGATTATATCCGTGAAACAGAGTGCTCTGTTTGCAGCACCGAGAGTCAGAGTGCAGCACCGAGACTCTGTTTGGATGCTAAAGTGCACTAGGAATTTAATTTTGCCGGAAATGCCAAGAGCCAATAAGGCACTCCAGTGCCGCTGAGGATTTTCTGGTATATATATATTTTCTGGAAAATCCGGTGTCTGGGCCGGGGATCGAACCCGCAGACTTGGGCTCAAGAGGCCGACCACAAACCAACTGCGCCACCCAGCCACCTGCATGCTTCTATTTAAAAGCGTGCACTGTAAAAAATTTCGGAGCAAATTACGGTATAAAGTACCGGTATTCTGGGTAAATCATCTGAAAAATCCCTTTTGATGTGAAATTTATTTTTACAGTAAAATATTTTACTGTAAAAATTTCAGCACCTTAGATTGTTTATACCTGTGAAAATGAATTTCACGGTAAAAAGTATCGGCAATCTGAGCACCGGTACTTTTAAATTTCTACAGTATAATTTGAATATTTTTTACAGGGTAACTAGTTTTTTGCACTTTTCCCAGAGTAACTATTTTTTTACAGTGAAATTTTTTACATTTTAACTAATAACAGAATGTTATTTATAGCTTAAACGGGCGACTTCTCTTCAAATTTCAGAAGCTTTGGATCCGAAAAGAACAATGGAAATAACATTGGATATGCCTTAGCTGAAGTTCCTCTAGTCAAAATTTTTATACTTATTTTAATATGTGTTCATTTTATACGACACAATAAATTCATAATAAAACCTTAATAATTGAAATGTGTTTTTATTTGTGCTATTTAAGACATCTTTGTATTAGATACATTTATACAATGCAACGAGTATATGCAACGAATTTTAATAATTTAAAATTTCAATAATTTACATTTTGGTTACATTTACAGATGGAACACCGGTGTGTCCCAAGAATATTTTTTTTATCACTCTAACACAAACATAATATTTACACAAATTTACATAATAATATTCAAATGTAATTGCAAAAATACATTTTGGTACTTTTTAATTATGAAAAACAGTCTAATAGTTACTAAAAAATATCTGGTGAATTGTAGTCTGGTAAATTGTAGTCCGGTGAATTATATTTCTTCTGAAATCTAAAAGAGTACTTAGAAATTTTTTCATTTATATTTATAAATTTATCTGTAATTGATTTTGCAAATTAAAGAAACTTCAATGATTAATTACTGTTTATCTAATATCTAAATAATAAGAAATAAGTACGAATTAGAAAATTTCTACCTTTAACGTAAAAGGGGAGATGGGTGCTGTATTTTATAACCAAACATTTTTATTATTTTCGGATTAGATACTTTCTATCTTAATAACTCAAAGGGTAGATAATAAATAGGTTCATTAACGCGTACTGTGATATTTTAAGTTAAGAAATCGGAGAAAAGGCAATTTTTTTAGAATAAAGGAGTTTATTAATTTATTTACTTTTTCTGAATGAATGAGATATGTGTACATGGACGTAATCCGTAATCTGGAAAATATGGGTCTCTCTTTACTTACAGGATTCAATGCCGCACATAAGGTGCAAAAAAAAATACACTTTACTTTTTTTATTACTGGTAAGATTGTTATATTTACAGTTCCAGTAATTACAATCAAATAATAAATAATTAAATAATAAATAATTAAATAATTAAATAATTAAATATTAAATAATTAAATAATAAATAATTAAATAGTAACTAATTAAATAATAAATTAAATAATAAATAATTCAATAGCAACTAATTAAATAATAATTAAATAAAAATTATTTAAATAATTTATTGTAATTATACTGGGTGAAAAGTGAACTTGAAATATTTTCGGATTTTCACGAGTTAATATCCATTTTACTTTTTTGCGTGTTATATTAATAGTGCATCTGATATTAATAAAAAAAATTTAACAAGATTGAAAAAATCATAAGCTCATAGATATATTTTATCAGAACAGGAAGCAGCAACAGCAAAAATGGAACATTATATATTTATCTGTATAATAATAGAAATTTTCAGCTTTTACAATCAGCTGTAACTGTATGGCTTTCAGTACAGTACGGAAAAATAAAACGAGACTCCTGATTAACTTTTGATCTATTGATTGGATTATTAAACACTTTCTCTCTTAATAGTTCAAAATGTACGGAATAAATAGGATAATTAATGACGATTGTGACATTTTAAGCTATGAAATCAGGAAAAATATGCTTTTTTTTAAAAAATAAATGTGCTTATTAATTAATTTGTTTTTTTCTGAGTGACTCGGATCTAAACACATGTGAGAAATCACTAAACTGGAAGATATGGATCTCTATTTACTTATTCTAATGTCTCATAAATTATTATAAATATACTGAATGAGAGGTACACTTGAAATATTTATGGACCGTTGTGAGTTAATAATAAATTTATTTTTTACGTGTTATGTCATACTTTTAAAATTAATTAAAAAAGAGTTTTGAGCAGAATTGAAAACTCACATATTCACATATATTTTTATTCTTATCATTTAATAAAAAACGATTAAAAAACCGATGAGATGTGAGATAAATTTTTCACATCATTTCACATTAAATTAACTTTCAGTCTCCTTAAAATATTTAGTTTGAAATGAAAGACTACATAGTCGATTGATGCATTCTGAAAACTGATTTCCTCATTGATTATAACTTTATTTATTGCTTTATTTAATAATATCTAAACAATGCAGTCGTTTCTGTAGTTCGGCTAAATAAAACTTTGGTTCAAGAAATTTTTGCATATTTTTGTTTTCATTTTTTTCTAGAGAATTTCAAAAATATATGTTAAAGACCGTTTTTACTGAACATTCTAAATTTATAATGTTGCATATCCTTTTTTTCCCTATCTGCTTCTGATTTGAAAACGTGTTTCTATAGATGAAATAGGCTATTTTTTTTAAAAAAAGCAACATTATTTATTGTATTAGTTTTTTATTTCCAAAAAATATAATTCCACGTAAGCAAACTCACAATTGCTTATGTAAACTATAGACATTTTCTAATTCATTGCGTCACCCCCTCCTTTATCGATATTTGTTCAAAATTTTTTTTAATGTTAATTCCTTAGACTCAGAAAAATTATATGTCAAGGACCGTCTTTACAGAGCACCATGTATATAACTTTGCAGATTATTTTTTTTATCTGTTGCTGATTTCAAAACTTGTCTTAACTTGCTTTTAAAGAAACATTGCTGTTTTTTTTATTCCCAAAAATATTCTTTTGCATAAGCAATGTTATAATATTTTTTATGTAAGCTATAGACATTTTCTAACTAATTGCGTCACCCTTTTATTGATATTTGCTTTAAAAAGCATATGCTAATTCCTTAAATTCAAGAAAATATATGTTAAGGACCGTCTTTACAGAGCACCAGGGTTATAAATTTGCAGATTATTTTCTCTATCTGTTGCTGACTTGAAAACGTGTATCTGAGAGTAACAAGACCAAGGAGTTTTTTTTTCTAAAAGAAACATCGCCGTTTTTTTTATTTCGAAAAATATTATTTTGCCTAAGCATTGTTATAATTTTTTTATGTAAACTGCAGACATTTTCTAATTCATTGCTTCACTCTTTTACTAATGTCTGCTTAAAAAAATATGCTAAATCATTATATTAAATAAAATGTATGTTAAGGATAGTGTTTACGGAACACCATGTTTATAGCTTTGCAGATTACTTTTTCCTACCTGCTGCTGATTTGAAAACAAGTATATTAAGGTAAGAAGACGAGTTTTTTTTGTTGTTGCCTTTAGTTTTTTTCTTTTTCATCGCTATTTTTGTTTTTATGCACAAAAATATTAGTTTGCGAAAACAATGTCACATTTTTTTCTGTAAGCATTTAACGTAAACTACCGACTCATTGCATCACCTCTTATTGCTATTTATTTTATTATCATTTTTCCTGAGAATCATCTGAAATTTTCATCTGAATCATGTTGACTGACGAGAAATGTTACGGAAACATTATCATGAAATGATCAGACTATTATTTGTAAAGTAATTAAGTTAGATAAATTTGATTCTACACTGAGCCACATACTAACCCTTTTTTCGAAAAACATTGCTTTCATATCCAAAGTTCTCATGCCCTCGCTGGCAACGATAAGATTCAAGACACGTGTAATATTCTGTTTAAATTGTAGAATGGGTTTGTAAAGGTGAGCATATTTTTTATACTCTTAAGGTATCTGACTACCTTCGGGACAAAATTNCCTTTACCCATTTCAATAAATTCATCAAAATAAATAACAAATTTTTTTGAAAGAAATCAAAAAATTTCTTCAAAACAAATCAAAATCAAGATATAGAAAGTACGCTTCAAATGTAAACAAACTATCAGAAAATATGCTAACTTTTCATGTTACCCACAAACACTAACCACGAAACGTAAAATATAATAAAAATATAATTCAGATTATTAGCCGTGAGTTAGAGCTTTTAAAAATTAAATATCTAAAAAAAATAAACACACAAATAGAAATGGAACCGAAACTATTACCTACTACCGGCTTCATTTTTGTAATTTCCGGTAAGTTGGACAGCTGTCATCTGTTACTAAAATAGCTATAACTAAAGTTCTGCTTGACGTGCGATCAAAAACAAAACAGTTTTGAAAACTAGAAAAATTGGGCATTATTATAAAGCAATAAAATAAAAAAGTGATTTTTTGTGAAAATCCTCTTTTTTAAGGTAGTCGGAAGCTCGAATAAATAAAATGCTACATAAAGTCTGTTTTTTCTTTAAAAATATTTTTTTTAAGAAGTTCTCATTTATTTTTTAAAAAATCTATATTGAAAAAAGAAAATGTGTAGTTTTTGTAAAATAATATTAGTTAAAAACTTATTGATGTTTGAAGGAGTGTAAAAATGGTGAGAATATGTTTTGAACTTCTTTTTTAAAAAAAATTATAATATTCTAATTAATAGTATAATTATCTTCTGGTAGAAGGGCCTCTAAATCCTGTTCACTGCGGCGCTAGACAGCGTTGTTAAAGCCAGTTTCTTTAACACGAAATTACTTCTAAATAATAATATTTTTAAAATATATAGATCAAACTAGCCTTTTAATTCTTTCCTGGATGTTTGTTGCATTATCAAAATGTTACAGCAATCTAAAACCAGATTTTTTGTTTTGTTGCTTCATTTCATTAACTCTTTCAGTACCGGCAGTTGATGAAATAAGCACTCCCCTATAGCCTCAAACTCCAAATTTATACGCCCAAATACGAGAGTTCCGCATTAAGATATTATACGTGTGATCTTGGGCCGCTGAAATCAGAAAAACTCGTTCCATACATGATGTCGTGGGCCGCGAAGGGAGAATTGTGTGATCATATAAATGTGATTACGATCTTGAAGGGGTTAAAATTTATGGAATCAAGACAGGATTTATGCATAAAATCAAGAATATAAATATTTAAAATTAGCAATCTCTTCTTCTATAATGAATAAATCGTCGGCGAGTATTGGGCACTTTATAACAGAATATGAGCAGTGAGGCGCTGCTCATATCCTGTTATAAAGTGCCAAGTTGAAAATAAATAAATAAGTTGTATTTTTGCATGTTCTAGTATAAGAATTTATCATACATTTCGAAATGCTTACATTGTGAAACAAAGATTTGTTTTACTTTTATGTTAAATAACCACACCGATGTAAAAACAATTTATGAAATAATACTGGACGAGTTTATTGAGTTTGACGAGATTATTTGTCAGACGAGTATACGGGATGA